TGACATTGTCTAAACCTTTCGACAGTTTCGACTTTTAAAAATAAAAAGTCAAAACATCTAAATAGGTTTTGACTTTCGACAATTGTCAATACCCTGAGGTTTCATCAAGCAACTATATAAATGATAAAATGAAAAATGAAAAAAAAGAAATACTCACTTACCCAAAAAAAATCCCAAAGCAAAACCTGCCCAAAGATTCAAAAAAGAAAGAAAGTAATAAATGGAATCCCTACTTACCCAAAGTGAAAACTCACCTAAGGATCTAAAAAAAAAAACCCCCCACTTATCTAAAAGAAGCCCAAAAAGAAAATCTGCCAAAAGATCTAAAAAAAAAAGTAATTAGTAATCAAAATCAAAAAAACAAAAAAAAACTAATTCCGCTTACTGAAAGTAGCCCAAAACGAAAAACTGTCTTAAAGAACTAATATCACTTACCGAAAATAAGCATGAAATGAAAAACTGCCTGAAAGATCTAAAAAATAAAAATATTAATAAATCGATAACGAAAAACAAAAAAAGAAAACCCACTTCCCGAAGCATTCCCAAAGTGACCTGAAGTGAAGAATCACCAAAGATCTAAAGAAAGAAAAAGGAATTAATAAACTAAAAACAAAAATAATGAATCCACTTATCCAAAGCAGCCTAAAGTATAATCGTGATCTAAAAAAAAAACAAATAATATTCCTACTTACTGAAAGCGGTCTGAAGCGAGAAACCATCCAGGCGAAAAACTGATCTAAAAAAATAAAAAAAAATAACAATACAATAAAAACAAAAATTAAAAAAAAAAAAACAAAATGAAATCTATCTACCCAAAACGACCTAAGCGAAGAACCACAAACAATCTAATAAAAAGAATTAATAATAAAAAAACAATGAAAAACAAAAAAATTACTTATCCAAAGCGGCCCACAGCAAAGAATCCAAAAGATCAAAAAAAAAAGAAATAATAATCAAAATAAAAAAAATAAAAAATAAAAAAAATACTTATCTAAAGCGGCTTACAACAAAGAACCTAAGTGGATCTAAAAAAAAGAATTACTAATCACAATTAAAAAAAGCAATGAAAACTACTTACCCAAATTGGCCTATAGCGTAGAATCCAAACAATCTAAAAAAAAGAATTAATAACGAAAAAACAACGAAAAATGAAAAATATGTATTTACCAAAAATGGTCTGAACTGGAAAAATATCAAAAAATAAAAGATTAATTAAATATATGAATAATAAATAAGACATAAAGAAAAAATAGCAATCAAGGCTAGGCTTATCAAAATAAAATAATTATTAATAATATGAAAAGCAAAAATGAAAAAAAAAATGCCACTGCCCAATCGAAAAAATGAAAAATAACAAAAAAAAAACTAAATACATATAAAAGTTGCATGTTTGAAACAATAAAAATCATTTTAAAAAAAATTTTAACTAAAAAGGATTAAGTCACTATACTGAAAACTGAAATTTTTTTACCATTTTTAGTAAGTTACAGATTATTAGGCTTGATATGCAAAACTTTTTTTTATTATTTGATTACAAATATCATTTAGACTATTATATAAGCATAATAATGATAAGGCTGTTTTTTTTTATTTTTATGATATAGTAATATGAAAAACAAAAAAAATAAAATACTGTAATATTTTGAATTATCTAAAATAAAAAGAATAAAAATTAATATGATTTGTTATTTAGAAACTAATGAAACATTAAAATATATTATTTGATCAATTTAAATTTTTTTTTTTTTTTTATAAATATAAGTTTATTATATAAAATAAAAAATGTTTATTAACTATATAGTAATGAATTAAAAGAAAATTTTATACTGATTTTTCTGCGAGATGAACGACCTTTAAATTTTTTTAATACAGATACAATTTTAGGAGTTGATTCTTCTTGTTCTTCAATTTCTTCAAAAGATTCTTCAGAAATTCCTTTAGAAATTTCCATTGAAGTTTTAGCTACTACAAGTGCATTTGACACAATATCTGATAATTTTGTCAATTTAGTTGGCTGAAACTTCATTTTAATTTATCTTTTTTCTAATACAGGTACAGAATGCTATTGCTCTTGAATCTTATTATAAATTGTTGACTTTGTAATTGTTGTATTCGATGATGTTGATAGTGATGATATTGATGGTAATGATGATGATGATGTAGAAGACCAAGGAATTTCTTTCGTAGATTTTAATCCAAAGTTTGATTGTTGCTGAATACGTAAAAAACTAAAATTATGTAATTCTAAATAAAGTTTTTCTTCAATTGATGTTAAAGCGTCTGAAACAAAAATTGAATACGGTCATTTTAACATTATTGTTTGATTTTTCAAACGGCTTTCATTAGAATGAAAGATTTTTATTGGAATTTTATTTGGCTTATCTTTAGCCATATAATTTGAAATGATACATTCAAATTGTATGCTAAGATTTATAAAAAGTACTGAATCTGAAACTAAAACTGTTCCCACAACATTTATTTGATGAACAGGTAAATTTTCTGGTTTAATGCTTAAGATTGTAGCTGAAGTTAAAATTATCTATTTAAAAAAATAATTTTATTGATTATTATTTAATTATAATTTAAAAAAATAATATTTAAAACAAATAGCAATTCTTGCGTTAATTTGATTATCAGAAGATCCAATAGCAAATTTTGAGTTTGCAATTGATAAAACTTGTTTTTTCTTTAATAACAAGGTTTTTCTTCATTAAGAGGGTAAAATATTGTAATATTAAAGGTTTAAGTAGCATCTGAATTTTCTGAATTTTCTTCAATTCTTATATATCCAATAGCCATTCCAATAAAAAATTCAACTGATGTTTTTTCTCTATAGTCAGAAATGTAAAGAATTGTTAAAAGTTGTGCAGGTATTTTGAAATTATTATTAAAAAAATGAAATTATTTTTTTGCAAATAAAAATAACTTTTACATCTGACTAATTTTTGCTTATTTATAATAAAATTTATTTTAATATGTCAAATAAATTATAATTTAATCAATTGTTTATTTATAAGTTTATAATCACAATATAAATTTATAATTTTGATTATATATAAAAAAACAATCTGAATTTCAGACAAAAACGCCTTCTGTATAATAAATTATTATTATTCAATTGATTGATTTTATTATAATTTTAAAATATTTTTTTTTACACAAATGAATCAAATTACTAATGATATTTTTGTATATAATTTGAAAAATTTCACTGCGTATTTTAACAAAAATTAATTTTTGATACTTAAATATTCAACCAATCAAAAAAGTAAGTCTTCTCTTTTAATCAAGCGAAGTATCAAGTCAAGCTTATTTGTAAGTTATTTTTTGCTTTCTTCAAAATATGTGATTTTAATTTTGCTTTGATGTTGTTTTAGTTTTAGCTTTTGGAATAATTTTCTTTAAAAATATAAGTAATAGTAATTTTTAATAGTAAATATAAAATAAAAATAAAAATAAAAAAGAAATCATTTTGTTTTTTTTTAGATCTATAAAATTAAAATTCTTGAAAAAAGCTACTTTGTGATTGTTAAATTTAATATAACTTGAAAGTGTCACAAGTGAGTTTCTTTCACGATTCTATTCTAATGATTTCAAAAAAGCTATAAGCTTATTGCAATTGTGAAAATATATGAATACTATATCATATATGGGAGCTTTGCAATAGAAAGGAAAGAAACTCTAAAAAAATTTTTTTTTGAGTTTATATATTAAATCTGAACTTATTTTACAAAAAAAATCATAATTAGCTTAGAAAATAAAAATTTAATTTTTTTAGAGTTTCCTTCCTTTCTATTGCAAAGCTCCTATATATACCTTGTATATATATGCATATTAAATAAGCATATATATATATTATACAACACAGATAAATTGTTCATATTACAAATTCCCTAATTTGAAACATTATTAATTAATTCATGTCGATCTGTACAATACACATTCCAATTAAGTGAAAAAGTTAGTAAATTTAGTAATGATCACTACCAATTTTTCACTCAATAACATCTCTTCATTAATTTATAAGTATAATTTAAAATTAAAATAAAAAAATAAATGTTTAATAAATTAATAAATCTTACCTTTGCTTTAAGTGATTTATTAATTGAAATATCTAAGGGTTGTAAATAAGATTTCAGCCCTCCATAAATAATAGCAGTATTAGTATTTTTTTCATAAATCGCTTTTTAACAGAATTAACAGTATGAGTTGAAAATGAATCTAAAACTAATAATGATTGTGGATTAGAAAGTGGTATATGCTTAACCCAAACATTTTTAATTCAATATAACATTTCATTTTCATTCATCCATCCAGTTGGATTAACACGAAAAATAACTTTTGGTGGAAAATTTCCCATTTGAAATTTTTTTAAGTTTGAAGATTACAAGAGAAATAAATTTAGTTTCATCAGCCATACAAGTTAAAACTACTATAAAATTAGTTTTTTCATGAACTGTTGTACGAATACTAAAGGTTCTTTGCTCCTGATTCATCAACAATAATATTACTTGGTAAATCAAATGTCATTGGAGTTTCATCTATATTTCTAATAAATGCTAAAGGATAATCATATTGAATTCGTCTATATATAACAAATGCTAGAAATTCTTGTTGTTTTTCAAGTAAATTATCTCGCAAATGTTAAGCAATAGTAGTATAATGACGATTGCTTAAGTTATTATGGCTCATTAAACCATCTAACTATTTATTACTAAAAGCAAAAGATTGTACATCAGGACAAGAAGCTTGCCATTATGGTTGCTTTGCTAGTGCTTTTGCTTTTATTTAAATCATACTTCGTGAGACTGCTTGCTATTTATTTCTTCTTTTTTTTAATCACTCAACTAAAGTTGCTTCAAGAACAGAATATTTTGGAGGTTTACCTGTATTTAAACATTTTAAACTAGGTTATGTCTTTATAAATTGTTCCTTCTTAGATACCCAGTCATGAACTTGCTTAGGTTCAATATTAAATTTAGCTGCTGTTTCATTTTTACTATGACCTTTTTCATAGTATATAATAATTGCAAGTTTTTCCCTTACATTCTATACTCTTCGTGATTTTTCTAATACTCTTGCATAATTGGCATTTTTATTTGCATGTTAAAGTAATGAAGAAATGATAAATTTATGTATGGTTGTGAGAATAGAAGGAAAAAGCTAACAAAAAAACAATTGAAAAAAATCAAAGTTAAAATAAATAAAACTCTAATCACATTATTCACAAAAGTCACATTATTTGTGAAGTTCATATTATTCATGTTATAATATGGATTTCATTTTACGAAACGTTAAAATTCAAAAAATTCAAGAAAAAAAAGATTATCGACGATAATCATTAGAATAATTAGTACCCCTTTTATTGTATTCTTTTTGTGTAATATTTACCTTATGTAATACCTCCTTCCAAATTTAATACCCTGAATACTATTCAAAATATGGCGTAAATTTGCTTAAATAATATGCAATACTAATATCAGCACTATACAGTAGCTAGTTTTTTTAATTAATAATTATGTAATATTAAGTATAAAGTATAATACTATTGTATTGATGAAGCTAAAGCAATTTATTGATAATGTTAAAGTAATTTAATATATACTAATAAATGCATTATAAAAAAAATTATAAGTTTAAACTACTGGCGAAATTTTCTACCATTTCGTGAAGGCACTGAAATTTCTTTGGTCAATTTATCCAATACTTTTATTTTTTTAGTATTTCTTGATAAATAATTTATAATGAATGTGTGTTGAATAAATTTGTTTAAGTGATACATAGAATCTTGTGCTAATAACTTGTCTATGTTAGTTGTATTCAACCATTGACCCAATACATGAACTGTTGCAGTTTCATCAACAAAATTAATAATCTCCTTCTTTTGTAAGGGATCTTATTAGTAATACCAGTTATAACAAATTCTGGAGTCGATTCAGTCAGCCATTAGAGACTTTTACGTCGATTCAGCAGTTGACTGAGTTGAGATTCTATTTTAAAATTAGCGACCATAATTATTTTAATATTTATGAAAAATTTTTAAAAATTAATTAATGTTACAAAAAGTAGATAATTATAAGTTTCATTATAAATAATGTTGACAAGAATCCCATTTGATTAAAAGTTTAAAGTTTTATTTAATTAAAAATTTCACAATATTTTGAACTTATATCAAATTTGGAACAACAATTCAGTTATGGCTAAGGTTGCTTGTCTAAACTCATTTTGGATTTGGCAAAATGGTAAAACCTTTAGTTTTGCTAAATTTTTACTGAATGTTTGATATAGTTTCGCCATTTTTATAAGCTTTAATATAGTTTTACCATTTTTTCAAATTTCGCAGATTTTTCAATAAGGTTTTAATATAATTTAACCAAGTTTTACTTTTACCATTTAGACGTCTGTCTAAACTCTTGATTTCATCCAGCAACCTTAGTTATGGCTCAGTCATTAAAATTCCAAAGTCGACTTGACTTGGTTTTTTCAGAGTCAACTCAGCTGTCGACTCTGATTCCAATGGCTAGTACTACTAGACCTATTTATATAGCAATAAAAATAAAATTATTATTAATTGTAATAAATAATAGAAGCAATAAATAATAAATAAAAATAAAAACTGATATAAATACAATTATTTTTTCTTTAAAAATATTGATCAAATCCTCAATGCCATTAACAAATTTATTACAAAAATCGCCGAAGTGTCTATTTGATGTTTGAATTCACTCGACTCCTTCAGCTGAGTTTATTTCACACTTAATTATTTTTCGTATTAACTCTTCAAAAGCTCCTTTAGGTAGGTTTTGAATTTGGAGAAATAGGCATTTCAGTTCTTCTAAAAAATTGTGGCAGGCCTTTTTCTTATTTTTTTGCGAAATAGCTGAAAATCCATGGGCTGTAATGCTTCTGTAGTTATAGTTTTCATCGAAGAATTCATATTAATTGCAAGCTGTAAAATGTTAGGATTTACATACAATCATGAACAAAATTGATATATTGTCATTTCGTTAAATGATGATGGAATGATTTCTTCAACTGTATTGAAATTCATCGCATCTTAAGTCAAAGTTGTATTGTTAGAAATGTTTAACGTATTATCTTTTGGTCCTAATAGTATTAGTCTTGAAAGTACAGTTCTGTTTGAAGGAATGTAACCAAATGGACTATTCGCTCTTAATATTGATGGTCTAATACCATTTGAAGGCATGTAGTAAAATGTGCTTTTTTCTGATATGATTCTCGAGTTTCTATTTGAAAAACCAAATTTGTTCCTTGATAGATAGTCAGTTTAACTATTTTCCTTTGATAATTTTATTGATGGTGTTACTGATCGATTTGAAAGTATATAGTCATTTGGACCAAAGCTTGAATCATGAGTTTTTGAAGGTGCCACTCGATTCACTGATCGATTTAGTGTATAGTCATTTGGAATGTAACTATCGGATCTTGAATCATGAGTTCTTGAAGGTATCACTCTTTTTACTAATAGATTTGAAGGTGGATCATAAGTTCTTAAAAGTGTTTGATTCAAAAGAGTATTATTCAGAGTTTGTTTATTGAATATTGAGTCATAAGATAACATTCTTGAAGAAATCGTTTTGGTTAAGTTATTTGGTCTTGAATTTTGATTAGTTTCTACTTTTGCAGCTTCTTCATCATCACTTAGAACATTATAATTGTCATTAAGACTATTATTATCATCGTTTTGACCATTATCATTATCTTGACCATCATTATCGTCATGATTATCATCATTGTCTTGACAATCATTATTATTTTGACCATAGTTTTGACCATCACCATCGTCTTGACCATTACCATCATTAAAAATATTATTATTGTTATCATTTTTCAAAAGTTCATTAATTATTTGTGATGATAGAGGTTTATCTGTTTCTTTTTGTTTTTTCTTACTTTTACTTGGTAGATTATCAATATTATCATCATGTTCATTTAAGTGTTTCTTCTTACTTTTACTTTATTTTTATTAATTAAGAATAAAATATAAGTTATATAATGTGATAAATCATAAAAATAAATTGTTAAAAATTTACCTTTAGTTGCATTCCTTGGTTCATGAAAATTTTCAAATTTATAAACTTTACTTGAAAATAATTTGCTGCTTTTATAATAAATATTTAGGTTATTAACTTTTGTAGCTTTTTTGGTTTTTTGTTGAGATAAATTAAGGTTCTTAAAGAACTTTTTAATAAAATTTTTTTTTTCATCTGATTCATAATATAATTTGTTCATTCCAAGTATTTTATTATAAATTGCTTTAATATTGAGTCTTTGTGATGGATCAGCATTCCAACATTGTTCCATCAAGTTTTTATATTCTAAAAGAATACCTGACGTTATTTTTGGTCTCATTTCATTTTCTATATTTGTTGCGAAGTCATAATCATTTTCATATTCATTAAATGGTGATTTCCCAAAAGAAATTTTCCACATAAGCATTGCAAGACTATAAATATCAGATGCTTTTGTATATTCCTTTCCAGCAATAACTTCAAGAGCTATATAAGGAAGGTTCCCATAGATGCATTTTAATGGCTTATCAGCAGGAACAGAAAATCTGAGATCACTTATGTACCACTCATCACAACATTGTGCATATAATATGTTTCCAGAATGCAAATCCCTATGAATCGCGTCTTTACTATGAATGGTTATAAGTGCTCCGATAATTTTAAAAGTAATATGAATTTTTTCTTTCCATGTAAGTTGTTGATGATTTTGTAGATATTTTCTTAAATCTGTGTCCATTTTATGCATTACAAGAAAATATACTTTACCAGATGGATCTTGAGTTAAACCAAAACTTTTAACAATTTCATTCCATTTACTACTTATATTCTTCCTATATATAATATAACATAGGTTATACAGAATAATGATTTAACAATTAGAAATAATGATAAAAAAAATATACCTCTTCAAACCAACTTCTATTAGCACTTTCAACATTTTCTAACTTTTTAAGGATCACATCATGCATACCAAATCTTTTTAATTCTCTTTTTTTAACATCCCAATGATTATAACTTCCCTCAACCCATTCGGCTGTATAAATTTCAGAACACCCACCTTTAGTCAAATATTCAATATTCCGTAAATTATTGTATGGTATCCATTCAACCACTTTACTTGGATTAACAGTTTCAATTTGACATTTCCGTATTAAATTATCAATATTGTCATTTCCTGATGTCCAAATTGAAAATTTTGCTTTTAAATGGTTTCGAATGCAATATTCACAATATGTCGTTGCTAAACATTCTTGTTTGCAATGTTCACATGATCTTTTTCTTCCTACATTAAAAATTAAGTTTATTTAGATCATGTATTTCATTCAATAACTTTATTGCTTCTGATTTTTCGTCTTTTGTAAGAGATTGATCAGCAAGAATTATTTTCTTTCTAGATTCATGATTTTTGTCCATATTATCATCAATAACATTATCTGTTAATGCATATGATTTATTTATCGCAGCATAAACTAATTCAAGACGACGAATAGTAGCCATGATATGTATATTTCAAATTAATACTATTGAAAATAAGTTTCATGGAAAAGGGGAACTGGAACGGAATTTTATTTCAATGCATGAAATGCATGATCGCTTTCTATATTCGATTGCTACACCCATTTTTTATGCTGTGGATCCGAATTTTTGCATAAAAAAAAAAATATGAAACAATAATAAAATAAACCATTGAATTTCATCGTAGATTTAGCTATGGATGTGTTTATCAGATATGTTAATTAATAATTAGATTGTAGAATTAGAACTAAACTTTAGAATGATTGTTTAAAATAAAAGTTATCAATTATACCAAAGTGAATTTAGTGAATATTGAGCGAATATTAGACAAAAAGTTTATGAACCATTTAATGTAAAGACAGAATTATTTAATTTATTTACTTAATTAATTAAAGGTTATGCAATTTAATTTTTTTATAAAGTCCATAATAATAAAAAAAAAAATTTTAATTTTAATTTACTAATGTAAAGAAATTATTAGACGTTTAAAACACAATAAGCTTATAGTGAATGAAGCAATATATTTATAATAAATATTTTTATTTGGGTTGCAAATTGCTAACTTTGATTCATAATAATTCAATTTAATAAAAATGAATTGAATAATAATATGAATATGTATAAAATTTCAGCATATATTGTTATGTAAAATATTATATTCAGAGCAAATTTGTTTAAAAAAATAAACTGAAATTCAAAACATTGTCTCTAATAAATACTCGATATTAATGAATTGCAAAAAAAAATAGCTTCTAATAAAATTCACCAAATAATGATTCAAATTTGCTAAAAACGATTCAATATACTCCGAACTCATGTAATATGGAATTATAAAATAAAATGAGATAAGATAAATGAATAAATGATCGCAATATGCTATGCTCTATAAATTCACGTGCTATGTAATCTTATAAGTCCAAACTGCTTATTTCTAATTTTATAAATCTATAAATTTTTGCTTGTATATTCAAAAATCATCAATTACATAGAGCTTATCAATGTATCAAATGAAAAGTAGACAATGTAATTTCATTTCCCAACTTAATTCATCCACGATTTGTTAGAATTAATTTATTAATTTGGAGATAGTGTTCCGCGAATTCCAGGTGAAACTGTTCCTTTTGAAAAAAAAAGAATCTGCTTAAGGGGAGAAGTCATAATGTGTGGCGGTGGCTTGTTTACTTATTAAGAAAATTTTTTTGTTGCCGAATCGATGGTCATTATTGTTAGACATGTCCTTTTTACATATAAACATTGTCATGTGAAGAAGTGTTTGCATTTTGAAAGTTGCAATAGTATTGTAAGCTTTTTTTGTATTAAACAATTTTATCATGGTTCAATTGATTCTTTGCAACGATATAAAGAATCGTTCAAGAATAATGCTAAAATCGTTATAATATGGATAAATTCACTTAACAGTACACAATGTAAAGATTGTATGAGGTTAATTAATTATTCGGGAATTTTTCAAATCTATCCTTTACATTAATGTTTTTACTAAAAAAAAAATAATCGCAAATGATCAATGAAATATATAGATTCAAGCAAATTTTACCATACTATGTACCCATCAAAGTTAATTGATAAGATACACGGGTCATTGTTTTTTTACCATCATTTGAATTAATAACCAAGAAATATCTGAATTGGTCTATAAAACATTATTGATATATTATCGTTTATTTATTTAACGTAATATTAAACCTAAGAAAAGAAATAAAATAGATTTGCATAATATTTGTTATAATAGACTTGAACCCCTGAATTTTAATTAAAATATATCATTAAATTCAATGTATGATGCTCTTGCAATTTAAGAATTATTTGTCATCACTCGTATAATTTTGAACTGTTTTCTCCGATTTTTCCAAATAATTTATATCTACAACATATTCCTTTAAGAAAATTTCAAGAGAAATTAATCGATCACGTAATTCTTTAACATCTGGAGAATAAGAATTTAACTCCGTCATTGAGGAAGAGGAATTGATTAATGGAAGTACTGGAATTCTTCTTTTTAATTTATTATATGTTCTACGTCTTAATCCGCAATCAGTTTGCAAACAACCCCAAGGACGAATCGCATCCACGCCTATTAAAGTAAAGAAATAAATAATACGATAAAAATCCGAGCTATAGTTTCTTTAAAAATTAATATATATATATAATTACCAAATAGAGTCGCATATAATGCCGAAGACAAACCCCAAGCACCGCCCACAAGACCAAATACACCGAGTAACTTTTTTTTTTTTTTTAAAGTGGAATGATAAGAATTATATTATGTTTGCTCATTTATAAAAGTAATCAAAAAAACTTACAGTTCGTGTTCTAAAATGTTGGCGTAGAAATGTTAATAAATATAATATTCTTTTTTTTGTGTTAGTATCATCTTACCTTTTTTCAGTCTCCACTTGCATACGGAAACTTGTAGCGGTTAAAGAAATTACACTGTAATATACAGTACTCGGTTCATCGGGAATAGGCATATTCTCTATCGCAAGTACAAATCTTTTAATGTTTTATATAATAATCAATAAGATTAATTATTGTTTACTTACGAAAGTTGGATACAATACGATGTAGGTTTTTATAAGATGGACTGACTCCAAGAATACCACTGAATTTTGGATGAATTATTTTCTTTTGATTTCTCGTCAATCCTATATATGAAACCTAAATGAAACTATAAGATAAACATTTTTTTTATAAAAAAAAAATTAAATTAAAAGTATAAAGACAATTACCTGATTATTGACAAGATAATACTTATTGTTTGCGACTAATTCTCTAATGTGATCAATAATTTTAATAGATTCCAAGTAGAGGTTGGAACCGATATTTAACCTTCGATTTTAAATCCGGTTTCCTTCGATTTGAATTTATTTTCATCCGAATAC